TTTGCTCACTACATGCTGGCCTCACGCTCTTTTCCCCCATGGATCTCATCCCATCTCATCTTACAGGCTCACGATTCCTAGCCGTACGTCACTGGCCTGCGTCTCCTCCGGCTGCCCGCTGGACGACTCCTGGGAGGACAGCAGGACTGAACTCTAACATGGACAAGGTGCAGCCGGACCGTCCTCGGCAAACCTGTTCCTCACAATTCCCTCCCTTTTCAGTGAATGACAACCCACTTCTCCAAGCGCACAGACGACAAAGTATGATGCCATCCTTGCCTCATCTTTCACACCCACGTCCGACCCATCTGCAGCTCTACCTGGAAATTACACCCAGAACTTGACGATGTCTGACCACATCCCAGCTCCCAGCTCCTCTCCTGGCTCACAGCAGTAACGCTCGGCCGCACACACATCCTCCAAGGCCCACTACCCAGTTGTCAGCACTTACATCTTTGTTTCTGAGAGCTTTCCCAGGCCAGGACACAATACCCAGGCCCTAACATTAATGAAGGGTGAACTGCTGAAAAAATAATTCTCTGGCCCCCTCCCCCCAGCAGCCTTCAACCCGCAGCAGACAGCGGCTGCTGGGAGAGCCCTGGGGTAGTAACAGTAGCTGACTTGATAGCGCCTTTCCTGGGCTGCCTGCCTCTCTGCTGGCTTCCAGGTGAACGACATGCACCACATTCTTGTCTCAGGGTCTGTTTCTGGGGGAACCCAGCTAAGACAGCCCTGACTGGTCTCATTGCCTCTGCCTGTGCCCTGCACAATATTCTCAACAAAGCTGCCAGGGCTGTGCTCTTAAATGCCAGGTCGTGTCACTCCTCTCCACAAAACCCTCCAAATCCTCCCATCTCACTCAAAAGAAAAGCCAAGGTTTACCGACTGCAAGGTCTTCACTGTGCAGCCACAGCGCCCACCCTTTCTTCACCCCTGGTGGGGTCTCTGCACTCCCTGCCCCCCAGCTGGCACCTGCTCAGGTTCCTTGCGAGTCCAGACTTCCTGACCTGGGGTCGCCGTCTCAGTGGCACACAATCACGGCTCCCCAGTGTCTCACACCCCCTCTGCTTTGCCTTCTCCCTGGTCACTGTCTGACACCATGTCTTTCCCATTAGAATAAGCGGGGATTTTCATCTTTTGTCCCAGCACTTAGAATAGTGCTTAGCACATGACAGGCACTGCATAAACATTTTAACGCGTATACATGAAGGAATGTGATGCAAATATCCTTCCCCTGTTCATGGATTGGCCTTTCTCCTTTTGATACACAGAAATGTTATATTATACGATTTTTTTTCCAGTTATGGCTGGTGCTTTATATATATATTTTGCTTAACAAATCAGTCCTTATCTCAAGGTCTTAAAAATAATCTCTTGTATTTTCTTCTAAGAGCTTTAAAGTTTCTGTCTCTTATATTTAAGGCTTTTCCTCCATTTGCAGTACTTTTGTGAATGGTGCAAGCCAAGACCCAATTCCTCTTTCTCCTGTACTGATCATTAGCTACGCCCACAGACGGTCACACGCAAGTGGGCCTGAGTCCAGGCTCCTGGGCTACCCCACGCGGTCTAAACTGCTACCGCTCTGCAGGAAGCCGCCGCCCTGGCGCGGCCCCAGGGGCACCTTCTTACTATTAGGCATCTTGGCTACTTGGGAGGCTTTGCTCTTCCTTATAAATTTTAGAAGCAGCTTTTGTCAAATTCCAAAACAAAGAGACAAACAAAAAGAAAAACAAAATCATTGGTGTTTTTATTGAAATTGCATTGAATCTACAGATCAGTTGGGAGGAACTGTCATCTCTATGGCACCGACACTACTTACTAATTAACATCATGTATAACTCCATCTATTCAAGTCTCGTTTAGCATCTTCCAATAAAGCTTAGTAATTTTCCACAAAGAGGTCCTGCACGCGTACCTTGTCAGGTCTATTGTCAGGACTGCTGGCGCCGTAATGAAACGCAGCAAACTTACTTGAGCAATCTCACATTTAATCCATTTTAGATTACTCTGGATTTCATCCACAGACGGCTCGTCTTCATGGGCCATGTGCCACCGCCCAGCAACAGCCCAGTGCACTGTGGAAGTGCTACATCCGGGGCCACACCTGGGCAAGCCTAGAGGGCACCGTCACACGACGGCTGGCCTGGCCCCCACACCGCTCACCTCTGCGGCACCACTGTCTCTTCCTCAGCTCACCCCTCCCCAGCACATCATGGGATGATCACTAAATGTCGAGGAAAGCTCCAACCTGGTTATGGAGGACTGGCTTAATGCACTGGTGCAGGCCTCACCAGAGCCCCAGGCGGCGTCGGCCTGAAAGACGGTGGTGAGGCAGAGCTCTGGCGATGTGCCCCATCCGCCACAGTATGTGTGTGTGCGTGTGTGTGTGTGTGTGCGTGAAGTTGCTGGTGGTAAGGACCACAGGGTCCTAGGCAAAGGCTACAGCTTGGTCAGGCCTCTGGAGGGAACAAAGCTTGTGGCAGAGGCCACCTCTGGATGTGGGAATGGGCACCATGTGCAGGTCTAGGCATCACATGTTAATGTCCACCCCGGACACCTACAGCCGTAGGGACACGAAAACCCCATGCGCCTTAGGCTGTGTGGACAACAGATGTCAGCAAGCCTCTGTCTTCCCAGCCCCCGCTCACACGGCAGACCCACAAAGGCAGTGACTGTGACGGCTGGGATAAAGGCTGCGCCTGGCAAGGCTGATCCAGCCACGGCCACGACTGAACACCAGCTCATAGTGAGCAGAGACCACCTTTAGGCCTCTACAGGGAACCACGTCTGGAGCTGTCACTCAGCCACTTGGTGGTAAGTTGCCTACCTGAGAACCTTCACCCAGAAGCAACAGTGATTTGTCTCAACGAGGATCACTCATATCTTGGGTGCGGGCCTGCCTCTGCTGATGCCCTAGCGTCAGAGATTTACCAACAGGGGATGCCACATGCCATCAACTCAGAGCAAGCGGAGGGCGGGCAAAGGAGCAGGAGACCCAGGACCCGCCGGCGTGTCACACTCCACATCACTCAGGAGGTGTCGCTCTGATAAAATGCTGAGATGGCCTCTTACAGGCACAGAAAAGAGCTGGCCTGATGGGGCACCTCAGGGGGTTCAGGGTGCTGCACTTCAAGATGAACTGACGGCCAACAGACATACTGGGTGCCTGACCTGTAAACCGCATGGATCCAGGAAGCAAGGGGCCAAAGCGGAGGTGGCCCCTGTCACCATGACTCCAGCAACCCGCTGGGACTTTGTGTCACCATCCCCACAAATTCAGGCTAGGCGCATCTCGGGGTCCTGACTCAAAGGGGCTGGAGACCACTTCCACTGTGGGACACAGGAAGGCCGTGGTGGCTCCTGTCGCTCTGGGTTCCCCGGAGTTTCCACGCTGGCCAGGGTGTGAAGGGCAGAGCTGCCCCTGCACAGGGGCAGGGAGAAGTCTGTCTGGAAATCAGGGGCTCCCGGGGCCTTTCTAGAGGTTCCTGGGACCAGTCTGAACTGTGCCTGGACCATCACAGCAGCCAGAGCCACACAGGGAATGGCAAGCAGGGCCCGGGCCGCACAGCACAGAGGGCTGGGTCACCTGGCGAGACCAGCAACCAGAGCAGCAGAGGGCTGGCCAGAGGTGAGGGGACCCCGGCGATGACGCGAGTCCCCAGCACAGCAGCAGGTGCCCTGCTCCTCCTATCAACCCTCTCCTCCCAGAAGTCGTGAGCAGCACCACCCTGAAGACAGCAACGGGACCCGACATGAGGCGTGGGCAGAGCCAGGTTGAGCCAGGGCTGCGAGCAGATGCCCCCACCCTGCACGTGGCCCTTCACCTGCAGCAGCGCAGGCGGCCAGAGCTTGCTTCGCCTGCCCTCGGGGCGCTCGGGTGTCTGGGAATCGACACCCCGGGCATGGCCTTTAGCCGAGGACTGGTGGGCACAGAGGTAAGAACTCTGCAGCTCTGAGGTGTGACCCACCCTGTCTCCAGAGCCCCTGGGGGATGACGCAATTCACCGGCACCTCTGGTCCTTCTCTCCCCATCCACCTCCCCAAACCTCTCTCCACGGGTTCTGCCTCAGAACACGTCCTAAGACATAACTTCTATAAGAACCTTCGCCTTGGTGTCTGTTCCTAGAGAATTCAACCTAAGAAAAATAAATGTGGTTTTTGCCATTTAGTTCTAACTTAACATGCTGTGCTGAAAGAATACGGCTTTATGACTCAGACTCTTTCAAATTTGTTGAGACAAGTTCATGTTCTAGCCCTCAGTCAGTTTTTAGATATAATCCATGTATTTTAGTAAGAATAAGAATCTCCAGCATGTGTACACACACACACACACACACACACACACACACACACACACACACACACACACACACACACACACACACACACACACACACACACACACACACACACACACACACACACACTCAG